CTCCCCTTCCAAGACAATGGCCATTCAGTGAAAGTGACACTGCTCCTGCGGCAGATGCTTATCTCCAGTCTATAATCAAATGAATGCTCTCATGGATTCCAAGTTGTGGACATAACAACTGTTTTGTGTCTTGATAATAGAGTCAGTGCTCCCAAGTCAATCCTTATACCAATTGCACTGAGGGATGGGGTGGGAAGGAGGGCAGTGAGCCATTTGGCTTCCTGCAACTTTTTGTTTAGAAAAAGAAATATTCTCCCAACACACTTCTGTCCAGACCTGGAGGGAACAAAAGGCTGGGACTTTCCATTATCTATCATGAATAGTTCCTCCTCCTGAAAAAAATGGAGACGCTGGAGACATTCTAGGAAGAGGCTGAGTCTCTTATTACCTACACTTGGAGCTTAATTTCTACAATTGGAGGTGCTGGGACTTAAGCCTGGAACTAGAGTATTAGAATGACTGGATCAGAATTTGGGACCACAATGTCCCCGGTTTAAATCCTTCTTTACCATGAATTCCCTAAGCAGGCACAGGCAATACCCTACTGTCAGCAAAACTGAGATAATAATTTGAATCTGCTTTACAGAGTTGTTGCATGTAAAGCACTTGACAGAATTTTAAAGTGTAAGGTATGAAGTATTGTGATCATAACATCATTAGATATAGCAGACCTGCTTCCCGAATACAGACATGTTGTAGGAGCAGCTGTTGTTCAGTTTTGCGGGAAATGCACTCTGTACATGCTAAGAGGCACCATTGTCACCTTGGTCCCTTGTCCTACACAAAGAAGCTTCAGAGTTAAGCCATGGCAATTCCAGGCTCAAATTAAGCGTGGAGCATTCCCCGCTAAGAACAGCTATGGGTAACTGGAAGTTCACAAGCTGTTGAGGCTGCGACAGCCAACTGCAAGCAAACGGCTGAATCTGTGAGCTTGCTGGCATTTTGCCACGACCGTATTACATACCATTCTTTCAGACTGTTGAAAAGTGTTCCTGTAGCTTTAAGAGGCAACCATCTCTTGGCATACAAAAAAGCCCATGGATTGTACCAAGTGAGCTCGTAAAGGCGGGGGAGTGGTGAGATGCAGCGGTATCGTAAAACCTTCGAAATACCTTGAATAAGTGCGTTAAAATTGAAATGTAAAAATATTCTACATCTCAAATTTCTTTTTGAGTTGAAATAGTATACTCAGAAGTTTAGCGCGGTCCTTTTTTCTTCGAGGGATCACTTCCTCCCCCCTTTTCTCATAAGGCATCGGACCATCCTTCACTCTGATCTTTTAAAGGAAAAGCTGAGTAGCCGGACAAGAGGGTGGGTGGTACTGGGCTCATGTGCCCTTTAAGAACGGGTTTCTGTGTGCCCGGGAGGATATTGTACTTAAGCTGGCAAGGGGGGTGATGAGTTAAGTATCCAGGTGAGTTCCTGCAGGAAAAGTGGTGGTTGTCTTTTTCCTTCGTTTTTTCCCCCTTAAGGTGGCGAGCCGGCGCTGGAGACGTCGCTTCGCTTTGGGTGAACGTTTGACTGGCAAGAATAGTCTGAAAGGAGTTGGTTTTACTTTTTTCTAAAAGTACTTCTAACGTGGGTCTCTCTCTTCTGCGTAGCTGTGCGTCTCTCGGCTCCCCTTGCGCATCTGTGCAAGGCGAAGTTTTTCTGCAAGACTGCAGATCTTTTCCCTTGCTTGGCTTGGCGAGTCTCCTAGTTGGTGAAATGCCCTTTGAGGAAGCCGAGCCAGGGACTGGAAAAATGTCTTTTCCTTGAACTCATTTTTTTCTCTCTCTCCCCCCCCCCCATCCACCCCCACTCGGGGCCCCTTTCCTATGCGCACCGCTTGAATGTTTTGCGGTGAGGATCCTGGTTTGCATCTTGGCTGAACATTCCGGGTTCCGTGTGCTGAGTGGCGAGATTCTTTGGCTGAGAGGACCGCGCTCGCTCGGAACTTGGCAGATCTGACTGGGTGTTTGCTTAAGCACGTGGAAGAGCGCTTCCCTCTGTCCCGCTGACCTGGCTCCCGTAACTTCTTTCAGGGGTCCCCTGGGTCCCCCCACCACCACCAAGGTAACGTTTTCCCTCCTGAGGTGCTTGTCTGCTTCGGCGTGTTTGCTGTAGCCTTCTGCGGCTCCCTTTTTGTGTGCCTTTGTTATTCCTGCCGTTGCTGACACCCACACTTCCCCCTTCCTCCCGAAAGCTATTTGATATGGGATCCTTTCTTTCACTTCGCAAATTCTTTCTGTGGAAAAAAAAGTTTAAAAGTTGTGGTCTTCTCTCAGGAGCAGCCAGTTAGCTCGTGTAGAAGGGGTGGTGTTTAAGAACAAAGGATGACCTTTTGCAAAGAAACAAACTTGAATTTGTATGTTTTGTTTTACTGAGAGTCAGGCCAAGAGGGAAGGAAAATTTGTGAAATCGGAACTTCATTCTTTAAAATATCCATAGTCTCCTGGACCAACTGTCCTGCTGAGGTGAGGTCCTCCTGTTTGCCTCACTCGTCTGGTGAGAAGCTTCCCCCACCAGAGTTGCAGGGACTAACTTTGTGCTTATTTGTCTGCTGAGTCCTGTCCTGGAGCTTTGGGGCGATCTGGATGCTTGTATGGTGGTTCTTTCTTGCTTCAGGGCCACACACCAAGGATTGGGCTGACAAAGTTGATTTTGGATCTCCAGTGGGAAGCAAGCCAGAAGGTGCTCGGAAAGGACCCTGCAGTGCTGGCAGGCCTGAAGCTCTGAAGCGAAGGCTTCTGGCCTCCCAGACTATGCCATCTGCCTTACTATAATTGGACATGCTTTCTTTTGCAGACTCTGTTCCGTAATCCTCCGTCATCTTATTCCCAAGCAGTTTGGAGAGAGAGGATGCAGGGAGGCTCTGTGTTGGCACTGACATGGCTCATGGTCCTCGCTGTTGCTGGTGCCTCCCAGACCTTCTGGCCTCTGGCTTCCATATATTTGGACCATATATTTGGACCTTCTGGCTTCTGGCCTCCCAGACCCACGTCCCTGCATGCCGATTCATCAGGCCCCAGTTGAGCAAGTCTATGTGGCTGGCTGGCTTCTCTGCCAGGGTTTGCTCTGCTCCTTATGTGATTTTGCCTCCCATGCTTTTGTTGTGTTGGAGTGACTATGCCATCTGCTCAAGGACCTCTGCAGCTTTGGTGACTGTCAGTTGCTGGAGCATGCTGTCCTTGTGCTGTGAAAGAAGACACATTTAGCAGTGTGCTGCTCCATCATCACTGTGTATCACTTTAGGCAGTTGCATTAACTTTCTTTCTTTAATAAGTTTCTTCCCCAGTGTACAGGGTGGAGGGCTCTTTTCTTTCCCATTTAATCCTTAGACCACCACTGTGAGGCTTATTAAGTGGGTTGTGTTGAAAGAAGGTGACTGGTTCAGTGTCGCCCCACAAGTCTCATTTCATTGTGTCGGGATCTGAACGCTGATCTCCCCGATCCTAGACAAGCATTCAAACCACTGGCTCACAATGAAGAGTGATGAGTATTCTGACAGAAAGGAAAAGAGGCACAAGTCCAAGTGGAGAGCTTTATTCAGGGTAGCATTGTATGCTGTTGACTGGGCAGAAATGAAACCGTGCCTTTCCCTTGCCTTACTATAATTGGACATGCTTTCTTTTGCAGACTCTGTTCCGTAATCCTCCGTCATCTTATTCCCAAGCAGTTTGGAGAGAGAGGATGCAGGGAGGCTCTGTGTTGGCACTGACATGGCTCATGGTCCTCGCTGTTGCTGGTGCCCCTGGGCAGTATGAGAAGCCAGCCTTTACCCCCATCTTCACTGGTAGGCCTTTCATTGTGGCCTGGAATGCGCCAACCCAGGATTGCAAGCCCCGCTTGAAGGTTGAGCTGGATTTCAGTGTTTTTGATGTGATGGCCTCGCCCAACGAAGGCTTTGTGGACCAGAATCTGACCATTTTCTATAAAGAGCGTTTGGGCCTCTATCCCTACTATGATGGGCAGAAAGTGGCAGTGAACGGGGGTGTTCCACAAAACAGTAGTCTGCTGCTGCACCTGGAACGGCTGCCGGACAGCATCCATAAGTATATACGCTCTGAGAAAAAGGAGGGACTGGCTGTCATTGACTGGGAAGAGTGGAGACCCATCTGGATCCGGAATTGGCAGACGAAAGACATTTACCGCAATGCCTCCCGGCATCTTGTGTTGGCTCGACGGCTTGAATTGCCAGAGGACCAAGTGAACAAAGTGGCCCAGTATGAGTTTGAGTCATCAGCTCGTGAATTCATGGAGAAGACCCTGCGATACGCCAAGAACATCCGGCCCCGCCAACTGTGGGGCTTCTACCTTTTCCCGGACTGCTACAACCATGACTACAGCAAGAACCAGGACAGTTACACTGGTCGTTGTCCTGATGTAGAGGAGACACGCAATGACTATCTAGCTTGGCTTTGGAGAGAGAGCACTGCCCTTTACCCTTCCATATATTTGGACCAGGTACTAGCCTCCTCCGCAAATGGGCGGAAGTTTGTGAGATCTCGGGTAAAAGAGGCCTTGCGTATCTCCCAACGCCATCATGAACACTATACCTTACCCGTCTTTGTCTACACTAGGCCCACTTATATCCGCAAACTGGATGTGTTAAGTGAGGTAAGAAAACTTTTCATGTTGGAACTGGGAAAGATAACCAGAGAGATGAGGGCAGTTGGGCCTGGATCTCTGTTCCATTGTAGCACAAACCCACACAACTTGTGACTTGCCAACTCAGACTTAACTCAGTAGCCATTGTGTGGCAGATGACCAAGAGGTAATTTTGTTGCTAGTCTTAAGGCTGTCAAAATAGGATGCGGCAGGGTTGGTAAGTCCATGGCTGGCTAGTGGGCTGCTCTCAGCTTGGTCTTGCAGGCCTGCTCTAGCAATTACTGAGAAGCCTTCTCTGAGCTTCTGATTGATAGCAAAGCCCTGGGCAAACTGGCTTCCCAACTCTTGCTTTGCAAAGCAGTGCTGAACCACAGTGAAACTGGTCCTGGGACTGCTCCCACCAGGGATATGTCAAGTGAGGTGTAGGATGGGACTTCTGAGTCAATGGGTTTAAGACTGAAGAGCAAGTCTTTCTGATATCGGTGCAATCTAACCGTGTGTGGAAGGGTGAAGGCGTCCGCTGCTCCTGTGTGTCTCTAGTCAGCTGTCTGGCTATGGCAGTCCTCTCCAGGAAAATGCTGCTATTAATGGCTTTTTAATTCTCCTACAGAGAATCATTAGCTTGGCATTTTGCCAAGGTCTTTCCTAAAGGGTAGCAAGCCCCTGGGTTGCATACATGTTGAATCAATTAGGACAGCTGAGTGCAGAAACCTGGAAAAGTTGGATTCTAGCCTCCAAATTGTGCTTGTGGGCAGTCTCAGTTCTCATTCACTGAGACACGCAGAAGAAGCAAGAGGATATTTCCTACTGTCCCAGTTTCTAGTGCTGAGATTATACAAGTTTACTTGCTTCGTGGAAGTCATTAATGACTGTGGCAGGACTATCCTGTGCCAGGTGTTGTTCTATCTGCCAAGGTGCTTTCCCTAGTACCGCAAGGCAACTTCTAGCTAACTCTCCAAGGAGGAGCAGACTCCCACAGATTACCCTTAGGTCTTAATGTGGCAGGATGTAGTTTCTGCATCGAGATGATGGAGTATGTTTAAAGTAAAGCTCGAAAGCCAGTCAAATCCGACTCTAGGGTTGCGGTGCTCATCTCCATTTCAAAGCCGAAGAGCCAGCGCTGTCCGAAGAGGTTTCCGTGGTCATGTGGCCAGCATGACTAAACACCAAGGCGCATGGAACGCTGTTACCTTCCCACTGAAGTGGTACCTATTTATCTACTTGCAATTTCTTGCTTTCGAACTGCTAGGTTGGCAGGAGCTGGAACTAGGGATGGGAGCTCACTCCATCATGCGGCAACCCAGGTCTCGAACTGCTGAACTACCGACCTTCCACAGCCTGCAGTTCAGCGTCTTAAGAATTAATATAGTATTTTCTCCTGTCTTGCATTTCTGCAAACTAGAGAAGGATTTGTTGCTTTGTTATAGCCCAAATTATTTGGAAAAGTTGAGCTCTCACTAGAAATGAGTGTACTGGGACTGATGTTCTTAATAGAGGAGGCTGAAAGAATGGTGTGAACTTCCTCCTCGTAGATAGGTTATTGAAATCCTGCAGGAAAAGCACCCTGAGATCACTGTGGATGATTACAATGCCCTTGTAATGAAAGAGAGGTAGGCATGACACCGGCAGAAGACTTGGGGGCAAGCAGGACTTCCTCCTAATCCATTTCTCCCTTAGTTTCATGCTTGACCTCTGACCACACACAAGAGATGCTCTACTGCTGAGCATTTAAAAAACACACCAGTGGCTGGGGTGAGCACTGAGGCCTCAAAAATGCTGCCCTTGCTCTCATGTGGCTGGCTTTTCCCATGGACAGAGTGGAGGCTAGCAATTTTTGTTTATCCCCTAATGCATGAAACTCCTTCAGTTTAACCAAAACTCATGAAGGCAAGCAGTGCAAATAAAAGGCTAAAATGATGGCTTTAGGCATATTTATGAAAGTGGTAGAAAACTTTTAAAAAAACATTATAAAAGCCAAGCTGAGTGACTTGCTTCTTATTGCTCCTATAGCAGTCTCTGACTACAAAATAACCACTGTGTGATTAAAGCAGTGAAAGAACAGGCTTTACATATTTTCTCTTTTGCCTTGGGGCTTGGACTTGCATTCTAGGTAGCGTGCCTGTTGCATTCCCTGTTCATAATATACATCGTTTTCTGTCCCTCATTCAGACCACATATTGTGCTGTTAGTCAAGAGCTGTGTATGTGCAGATAGGAATCTTTCTCTTTTGATATGCTTAGAAGTGATGCCAGGGTATCGGCTGCCTGGCTGACACCTCATAATATTGTTATGTGGGCTGGCTGGGAAGTTTTGCTCCAGGTTTTGAGGAGTGGCTCCTTCCCAGTTCCCACAGGCAGCTCTGACAGGTTCTCAGCCTTGCTCAGGTACAGCCTGAAGTGTGGAAAGCAGCAAGGGAAATGGCGGCAGCATGTGGCCCGCAGGCTAACAACGGAATAAATGGGACTATTCCTGGTTGCTCTGCTTTGTTCATGCTAAATTTTAAAATTACTATAGGTTAGCATGGGAAATGGAGCTAAGAAATGAAACCTCCAGAATCCAGCAGAGTGCTTCCTTCCTTGAAAAAAAAGCCCCCCCAAAAGCATTTTTTTTGCCCTAAAATTGATTGATACAAATCACATTAGTAAAGGAAGTTGGGAATCTATGATTGCAAGGATGCAGCGTCAGTGTTGCGTGTGCCTACTATCTGCCTGCCTTGTTTGTGTGTGTGGGGCCTGCT